GATAACACTGGTGAAATAATTAAAACGACTAAGGCGACATCGCGAAGTGACTTTTGTAAATTACTTATCTTATTTTCGATAGTAAACATAATTTGGTATTCATTGATACCACCGTTATCTACTAAGTTTTTATAGTTTTATAGTATCATCTATGTAGTAACAATTAATATTTATTCACATTTACTTTAAATCAGTAGAATTTTTTATTAAGGATTGGCTTAGTTTCATCACAGTGGGGCGTATAATTTACCATAGCCTTCTGACTAGGCGAAGATTGCCAGTATTTATAGTCGTACTGTTGGTAAATGTAAGAGAGGGAATTTCTGACAGTAGGCTCGAGGTTTTTAACTTACTAGACTTAGTTAGATTTCTTTGTATAAATTTCCATTTGTAATAGGCGATGATTTTGTTTATTTTAAAATAATTTAAAAAGAGACTTCATCTGGAGATACAGAATGAACATTTTAAATGATTAGACATGCATATAACCTTTTACTTTCCTTGCTTCATAACGAAATGCTCAATTATTAAAATTCTTAACACTTACGAGTGTTCAGCTCTAAGTAGAAATAGGCACAGTAATTCTAACTGAGACGATATTGCACTGAGTTGTTAATTGGAAATCAAATTAAATTCAGACTTTTCAAATTTAAGTTTCGTAAGCAAGGTATCTGCTATTACTGATACTTGCTTTTTAGGTTTACCACTGGCAATATCAAGAATACTGCCCATAAGAATTAGTGATACTGTACTGAAAGAATTTTATCTTTACTAGAAAACTTTTAGTAGGACAACTGATTATGAATCACGTGGCTTTGTTAGCGACTCTTACATACGTTAAACAAACATTCGTTGTTAACGCAGTGCTATTTGAATTTGAATTTTAAGAAGTGGAAGCGGATACAGTCACTATTATAATAAATATTCAAGTAACTCTAGCTGAATTATCAAATTCAAAATTTCCAACCACTTTAAGGTTACAAATCAATATTTGTAATCGCTTTTATTTCCATCCAACTTTCCTCATAAAATTTTCTTACTTCATGTTTGTCTCCATCGTTCATCTAGGGGTTTGCCTTTAAATAGCTTTAACAACAATCGATAGCAATTACCAATAAATTAATTCCTGATTAGTCATGATGCGTCTTTCATGATATTGATTACATTACTTTACAAACAATTTGTAGGAAATGCAACCAGTACGTAATATTTTCTTAAACTTTAAATTTTATACTTTAAATTTTATAGATTAATAGTTATCTAATTCTTTTTAATTAACATTAATAAAGGATTAAAAGGAGTTTTTCATAAGGTAAATTTTTATGCTAGCTACATCTAAATCCAGATGATATAATTAATATTCACATTTACTATAAGTCGAAAGTTAAAAAATATTTTAAATGACAAAGGCCGAGAATTATTTATAATTATTGTGACGTACTGTCGATATGTCTACTCCAGTCAGTAATAATTATGTGTTATGTCATTACCATATTACGCAAATGAAATGATTTAATGATACCGCTTACAATGTATAGAAAAAATTCTCGTCTAATATAATTTTGCTTCCTTAATTGAGCTTTCCAATGGCACTAAAGAAGAGAGATTTTTTTTAATTTCAATATGGAAAGCACTAGTTCATAACATAACAAGAGCAGATGTGACCCGCGTCTTCATAAAAGACATTACCATTTAAATATCGGATCATACCTAAAACATAATTATCGCGTTGCATCGAAATAAAAAATAAGATAGATGAGGTTGATAATATAAAAATATAGCGTTAGAGAAAATACAGTTGCTACTACTTTAATGCAACTTAATGTTCAGTTATGGCAATATTATAACTTGGTATATTCTAATTTATATCGATACAGTCCGAAGCCATATTATAGAACTAGATAATCTATAGAATTCAGGTATTATATACCATTAGATACATTTCCACATACTGCAGATTATTCTATTTTAAATTATTGCTTCGCTTGTATATGTCTTGGCCTTCTCTACAATTATAGTTCATGGGGATACTATAACTATGCACCCAGAAATAACTATGCCAATTTAAATAGTTAATGATAGAATACGTACTTGTACGCATATGATTCTACTGCCAAGTTTCCTTGAATAATTAATTTTTCAACTGAATAGCTGTGAGGAAACGAATATCTTTTGAATGGGAAGTTTACTTTCCATACATCAAATTTTGCCTAAAAAATCGCCAATTCGGAATTGCTTAAAAATATTTTATAACAAAGATTATGATTACTTACAGTAATGATTCTTCCATCATTTGCTACACAGGATAGTGAATCGCTTTTAAGACAAGATATTGTTATTACTGTTGTGCTCGAGGCAAATTTCCTCCGTTACAAACATTTTAAAACTTAAATTAAACATTCTCGTATATGTCAAATCACAATGACTTTTACTGTTCAAACATCTTCAGCTATACAGAGGGTAGTATACATATAAACAAGTACAATAGTTACTGACATTACCTCTTAAAGTTTGGCTTTTATGAAGCTAAGAAAATTATCAATACTTTTTCATACGCAACACTAGTTCACTAAAATTCTTGAATAAGTTAAACTTCAATGCTGATAACTCCAAGTGTATAATTTTCTTTATTGCATCATACATAATACGACGATAAATAGGTCCTAATGAGTAGAGTATAAATAATAAAATAATTTTAGAGGTATGCAAACTTTCTAGCAGGAAATGTCATGCAACAGAATATAAATCTATTTAGATACGTCCGACTACTAAAATACATAGCTTATATGCTCCATGATATAATAATTCCGTGATACGCTATCAAAAATAGTTTCAATTAGCATTTAAATTATAATTATAGACAAAAAGTAGACCGTGGGTCTTTATTTATATACTTCGCATCACGAAATAAATACTCAGAATTTTTACTAAATGAAGAACTGCGTCGCGAATTACAAGTAGATAATCCGATTTCGAGAATAGATATTATCTATTGATATTGTAAAGCATTAAGTTCTGAAGGTAATAACAATTCAAATTAAAGCTAATTTTGTTCTCCGTATCCGTACACTCAAGGATTGAAATGATTATAATGTGTTATTATTACACAATATGAAAGAATAACATATAATTGACGTTGGCATTGACTTAAGAATAATAAACTACAACAAAAATGAGATTTAATACATGAAGTAAATGAATTGCGCAGCGACTTCGTTCAATGAGCCATTCATAACGTCAAGGATAGTTGGTTTACTGTAAAATTATCTTCTGTTACCCTATAGTAAAGATACCATAAGATTAAAATTAGTTCATCGTATTTAGTTTACTGCCTTATTAGCGCATATTTCGCTCATAAATAATTTTAATTTACAGAAAACGCAAACAGCATAAGTTTTATTTTATCTCAAAGATACTCTGTAGTTTTTATTAATTAATTTATCCGCAAAATCATATTCAAATATCATTACCTATTCTGATAACTGTGAAAAGAGGTATTGGTTTTTAATTTTCTCTATCACTGATAATTGTTTCGTAAGTAACAGAGTAAAAACTGTAAATCTTTGATTACCTGAAACCTAATCACTTATTTATTTTAAAACAAACGGAGTCTTATTAATATTATCTATTCTAATTATATTCTTAGGTCTATCGTAGATGCAAATCTTATTACATTAAGATCTAATAGCTTTGCTAGCTATGCAAATCTAGTAAACCTGTAAGGCTGATTTTCAATTTTAATTTAATGTTAAAAATGTGATTATAGATGATCTTTATAGCTAGTAGATTTATATTTTATCCAAAATATGTTTTAAAAATTTAATGATATTTGTTGCAGTACTATAGTCGATAGTAAAATACGAAGTTTGCAAGATTACGGATTTTCAAATTTAAGCCATCTTATTAATTTGTAAGTCATTGTATTAATCATCTCATAAGGTAATCATTCACGTTATAGCGTATTTACACATTTTCAATTAAATATAGATAAAGTTATGGTTAGTTGTGCTAAGTCACTATATAACTGCCAAATAATATAATTTATATGACTACACCCCAGGGATCTTACCTATAATGAATTGGATAGCTTGAAATCCCCGGAAACATTCTACGGATTAGAAAATTTGCGAACATTGTAAGCTGTCACTCATTCACATCTTTTATTGATGTCGGCATAATTTATTTGGCTTGTTACTAAAGGCAGGTATTTCTTGATGTACATTTATAATTAGGAAAATTGTATTTAATCGAATTCACTCCGTGGATTATGGCGTCTTTGCAGCTCTGAAAAGTTTAACATCTTTGTAAGTAGCATTAGAACTATTTAAAAATAATTATATCTATTTGTAGAAACTACTAATACCTATAATACCATCAGAATCTGCCTTGTAAAAGGGTTACTTGCAGCTGATTAATGCCTTCAGAAGGCGCTTACTGAATTTGATTGAACAGTCCTCAATGATGATTAGTTGAAAGACTGTTTATTCGCGAGACTGTTAGCGAATTATAACGATATTAATGCTAAAGCTGAGTCAATTCTTGATTTTAAGAAAGTTAGAGGAATAATTCTGAATAGACTTCAACATAGTTATCGCTTGCAAATACTCTAATTGATTTAAGAAACATTTTAGGATCATTTTAGTACGTTGTACAAACTGAAGTTACCTTAGGTGTAAAGCTCGGTTTATGTGTGGTAATTCAGGTATCGATAATCATAATATACGGTAAGAAATTTAAATAGTTTTGGCCTTTATCAACAAACTTTCTCCAACGATTTCACCTTACTTCTGCATATTCATTTCTGCACATGATATTTCAAAGTATAGCAGTCTAGATATTAATGACTAAAGTAGAAAAAATTTCTTCATTAGCCGAGATATTAATTGGGTATATTTCCGAAGATAATTTAAGCATATAAGTGTTAGAATATAACAGCAGGAATAAAACTACTATGCGAATTGCGGTTGATAGTACTCGATTTGATAAAATATCGCAGGAGCATGTCAGGCAATCATATTGCAAGCCTAGATCGGATACATTTCCACGGGTTAAGCAATCTAGCCGATTTGTAAGTGATAAATTTTGTTAGCTCTGTTATTAATATAAAGAAAAACCTAATAGGAAGTTCTATATCATCTTAGCACATTTTCTATTTTGTAGGCGCCTATCTGGTAATCAGTTAACAACAATTCCATCAAGCGCTTTTATTAATCTACCGAATCTGGAGCTAATGTAAGATTTTCTCTTTTACTTAACTAATCATTTAAATCAGTTTTAGTTTTTCTAATATAAACCAGTAAACAATTCGCTTGTAAGAATATCTAATAATCATGTCATAATAATTTTTCCAATATTACGATAATTTGCTATAACACAGATTAATTGTTATGATCTGTCTGCTAATTCATAACCTGTACTTGTTTCTATTATTTAGTTTTTTAGCTTTTAACTTTATCGAAAATCTGAACGAAAAAACGTTTGATAATCTTGGGAAACTTCAATTCTTGTTAGTCTAGAATTTGACTTTGCAGTTTATTTTGCAATATTTGGCTGAGGTAGATCCAGTCTTAAGATTAATTAGCTCTCGTAAATATTTTTCATCTTCGACAGGCAATTGGGAGCCAACCGAATAAAAAGATGCAATCATAAAGTATTTTCGACTTTGCGAACATTACAGATATTGTAAGCTAGCAATAATTAAAATCAAAATTTGTAATTGAAAAAGATGCGATAAATACCATGGTTCATTTTTCAGGGATTTATCCGTTAATCAATTATCCTTTGTTGAAGATTATTGCTTTAAAGACATGACTTCTTTATATGGAGTGTATGTATTTAACGTTTTGATAATACCTACCATCTTAAGTTTTACCGGTAGTAGTAATAACAATAATTGTTCATATTGATAATGAACTAAATTTTAATGTCTTCGCATACAATCAATGTAATGTATGCATTATTCATGAATCGATGTTATCGAGCAAAATGCTTATATCTCGAACAAAACTTCCTACTAGTCAAATTACATATTATAACAAATGTAGGCTTACAATAATAACTATTGTGCCTATCTTTTTAAAAAGCCAAAATATCCAATCAGAGCAATCTATACAATGCTGTATGTTATGTCCTTTAAATTCTAAATAAGAAGATAAAATTTCAAGCTTCCGAAGTTGTAATTACTGTCATGAAATGGATTAAGTGGTTTTTAAAGTTAAATGACGGATTGAAGCAATTGCAACTGAAACAATTATCACTCACTATAATAATTTCAGATCGTTAGCTAAAAATCAACTTAAAACAATTGGCTCCAATTCATTTTATGGCTTGAGAAATTTAGTAGAAATGTAAGAGCTAATTATATCAATTAAGAAGAAAATTTAAGTTGTATTGAAACGTCATAAAGTGTCCAATGTTTTCTACAGGTTTCTAGATGCCAATCAAATCCAAGATATTCACCCTAATGCTTTCAGACACCTTAATCGAATCAAATTAATGTAATATACTTTATGTTTAATGAGCAGTATCTTTATTGCATTTATACATCAACAAACCTATTTAAGTATGCAACTTTGACAGAATGCTACAGGATAACCGACTGCAGACGATCGAGGACAATTACTTTTCCAATTTGAGTACATTGAAAGAACTGTAAGGGATTAAGATGAAACTACTATTACTACCAAATATATATATATACCTTTACAAAAAAGTACAAGCTAGTGAACTAATGATATCTCTTACCATTTAGTTACTTACAAAGAAACAGGATTGAAACGATAAGCGATCAATCATTTACGGGATTATACAGCCTAAATATAATGTATTATGAAAAAATTTTTCCTTTATTAATATATAACGTTTTACGGCATTTAAATTTTTAAAGAGCTTTAAATATTAGTTCTTATACTTATCAAAGTATTATAAATATCATAAAGCATTCTTGAATTATCCTTCAGAAATATTTCCAGCAATCCAATACATCGGATTGCTAGCCAAGCTTTAAATGATTTACATAATTTAACGATACTGTAAGTTAAAGCACTTATTACACTTTTAGGCTATTAAAATAAATACAAAATAGGATATCTTTATTACTAGTACTAGAAATTCCTTAGACTATTTTATAAACAGTAAAACTTAAAAGTTAACTTAAAATTCTATTAACTATTAACCAAGCATAATTTAATTGATTAATTGATACAATGGAGCAAAATTATATATTTTATCGTCTTTATTTGTCAGTCTTCAAGTTATAGTAAATCTGCTAATCTTTAATGAATAACTACACAGACATAGTTTAGAATTATATCATATTGTAGTTGATTAGAATTGTTGTAGTTGCAACGTATAACAATTATATTACTGTCCTAACATATGGCTCTAATATAACTTTAGGAGACTCAAAGCGATTTCCTTAGATGCCATTCCATATGGTTTATTCCGGTCTACATTCAATTTAGCAACTTTGTTAGTTGTTTTCCAACTTATTTAAATTAAATTGCGTCACTTTAGTAGTATCATCCTAGGAAAAATTCAATTGTTAGCTTATAATTGATATATGATTTACTTACACAGCTGTTAGATCTATAGTAACCACACTTTATTGATAGGGACTTGACAAACAGCGGCATAAAACGCCTTGGAAGCAACAATTTCAACAATTTATTTCATTTACAGTCTATGTAAGATTTTGATGACCTTATAATATTATACAGATAATACTATAATAAATATTGTATACTAAGTATGAATAATATAAAGTGTAAGTAATTTAAGTATATCCTCCTGAAAAAAATTCGGTATACGTATTTTATCCTATAGGGATTTATCCTCAAATGGAATAGGTTATATACCCCCATACGCTTTTAATGTTTCAGATCCAAGCCATGTCAATCGATTGTAAGTATCTAAGCAGTAATTTTACGCAGAATAGAAGCATCAATTGGTATTATGGTTTGAAATGCTAAACGATGCGGTCCAAAAATTCCCCGATTAAAATGATATTTCTTCTATGTTTCAGCTTTTCTGTTCGCTCTTCTGAGTTACTAATTTAGCTAGCCTTATATTGATAGTAAAGCGATGTCAGCTGCTATATCACCCTCTCATTTTATTTAGTGACCTGAAATATTTTACCTTATTCTAAGATAAAATACTTCGATAACAAAAGTTTTACTAGATTTATTCTGAATTATATAATCAAATTTGTACTAATATGCATCAATTATTGATACTTAGGCAATTACAAAACAATTTTATCTCCGTTCTTGATCGACATGCTTTTGATGGGTTATATTCACTACAAACTTTGTAAGTAAAGTTTATATATAGTGAATACGTCCATACCTGTCATTACATCTGCTTAAATTTTATAGTTTGTTCCTCTTGAACATGATTTATTTACATGAGTATTCAAGCGAGAGTTTACAATTCCGGAAATTGTCGAAGCATTAAAATTATAGCACATCAGATATCCAATTTATCTAATCAATTTAAACATGATATCAAAGATATAATTTCTATAGTCTATATTTAATAATAGGAATAGAAGCTTAGATCGTTAGAAACGACAGTAGAAGAAATAACAAAAATCCTCCATACGGCTGTCAAAATTTGTAGTTTATTAGTGTCACAAAACAGCTTTGCAACAAGATAACGCAATATACGATCAATAAGTCAATTCCTTGAACCTCGTATCAAGGAACGATATCTGTACTATCACGAACACTTTTGTTCTACTAGCAGACTACACTAAGACTTTAACGCCTCGTATTTTACGTTAAACACTAAGTTGGAGAAATTATCTTTATTTCACGATATACTGCATTTATATACTACTCCTCAATAGTTCATGAGTCATAGTTAATACAATTAATATTGGAATCATTTACTGAATTAGGTATTAATTTTAGCTACTGCTCCCTTAATGCAGACAACAGTATTTACGAATATTGACATATAATGACTAATACAGAATAGTCAGATTACGATATGTCCTATCACGGAACATTTCCATGATAATTTACTGTCTACCATAAGTATATTACAATCACAATGATTCGAACTGTAAGTAGATGATTTGCATTCCCTATTATAACTATTAATTTCAGTATGTGTATAAGTATCACTGTCATAAAAAGTCAGTGCTATATTAAAACACAGTATATCCAAATTAGAAGTTAACTAAATAAGGATAGTCTAACAGAATTATCCTAACATAGTTATTTCTACTGTAATACAGTATTTAACACTGTAACAATTAGTAATACAAAAATACAGTTTTAGTCAAAGATATTTCCGAATATATAAATATGTTGGATTATAATTTAGCAGTAGTATTCCTGTTCTTTAAGCAATAGGATTGTTCAAAGAAATATAATCAATATTTATCAGTTAAGGAAGATTATATGTATATAGGAAATTTTTCTATCGTAATTTTAAATGCTTGGTTACGGATATGTGATGTTAAAAACCTGATAATGATTTACAAATTTGCATAAGAAATGAAATGTAGCTTTATGTTTGAAGTTAATTAGCATACAACAAGCGATATTTGTTTTTATGACTAATGAATTTCATATCATGTAATATCAGATGTTTAGAAAGAAATAAGCTCCTGCGAATTCTTGATGGAACGTTTTCATCACTGACTTCACTAAAAGTCTGTAAGTGCATAATACAAGATC